CTTATAAACCTGCCCGTAGTTGATAATTATCCAGTAATTAAGCTTGTACCTTTGGATCTGCGATAACGAAGTCTGGAACTAAACTGCGATGAACACTCAGCCACGATGGAACCTTGGAGGGGTCCTACACAAAATCACACATCATTTATAAATAAAAATTAAATCCTATTGCAGTTCGTCTCTTTGATTACCAAACTGTTGGACAACATAGGCCCATGATAATCCACGACCAGTTAGACCCAGTACGACCTACAGTGTATATGGATACCTTCGAAAAAGAAGGAGAGGGGATCATAGAGGGGATTAAGGAGACTCCTGCAATGAGGAACCCTATATTGCTAAACAGACAAGATAAGATAAGGACAAGAGGAGACGGGTAAGGAGAAGGGGAGGGGATTATAGAGGGGGTGAAGGACACTCTTGCAATGAGGAACCTTATAATACTAAACAGACAAGATAAGATAAGGACAAGAGGAGAGGAGAGGAGAGGGGATTAAGGACACTCTTACAATGAGGAACCCCATATTGCTAAACAGATAAGTAAATATTAAATTTTCTGTTTAATTTCACTCATAAATTGCTTTATTACCTATTTTGAAATATAATTATGTACTTACTTTCTTGTTAATTAATATGTTGATGTTTGTGTATTTGTTTTTCTTTATTGTTATGTTTCAACCCTATTATTGTAATTTTTTTTTACTTTTCCTTCCCTCCTCGATTAGCTAGGCTATTTTGCAGGCAAGGATCAATTATGGTTTGTATTCAAAGAGTTTTTAATAAACGTAAACTTAAACTTGAAACGAGAAGGAGTTAAGGTTGGATTTTGCATCCATCCTGTTCGCTTTTGAAACTGATTAAAGCACGGTCGCTAAACTGCGTAAAATGGGTCTTTCAAGAAATGTGGAAGCTGGATAAAAAAATGTTGTAAATACCTTGCTTATTTTTGTCATTTTAAGCTCCTTGTTGAGTTTTTCAATAGTTTTATCATCATGACCATTCCCACACTTTGCAACAGTGCACCACTGTTTAGTATCTGGATCCCAGACCCCCATCAGAAAGATTGACATCAGTCCCCCTGCAATTAAACACAAATTAAGCCAACCGCTGATCAAATAATGTATGCCAGTTAATGATAGTTGCCGGAAGCGACAGTTTCGATCCCAAACTATCGTCAGCTACTCTTGATGGTCTTAAAGTAATTGACCTCACTCAAATTTATCCCAAACTATCGTTAGCTGCTCTTAATTGTCTTAAAGTAATTATTGACCTCGCTCAAATTGTAGGAGCCCTGGTCAGTACTGTTTGTCCAGAACACTGAAGACTGGATTTTGTGGCAGTAACAAAGTTGTAATTTCTAATGTTGTTTAGTCCAAGACAGTCTTTATCAGATCTGTACCACCCACTCTTGCCTCAGCCTCTTAAGGTCTACAACAACAAAACAACAACTACAGTGTACTTAAGCCGTTTTGGTAAATGATGTTAGAGCGGTTTTCACTTGACTGTCGTAAAACCAAAACCAAAGTAAATACACTAGCCAACCAAAGGACGTAGTAAGACCAAAACCAAAACCAAAACCAATCCCAATTCGACAGTCAAGTGAAAACCGCTCTNAACCAAAGTAAATACACTAGCCAACCAAAGGACGTAGTAAGACCAAAACCAAAACCAAAACCAATCCCAATTCGACAGTCAAGTGAAAACCGCTCTATGATGTAAACGGACCATTCACCTTTGTTTCCGGTCCCATAGTAGGCCCCCAGTACCACAAGGTCAGCAGTATCAGCCATAGCACCTTCTTCAAGATAATCTTTCTTCATCTTACATGTAGTGACATTGAGAAAAAGTGAGAAGAAGAAGAAGAAACAAAAGAATGTTAGAAGGTTTGAACAGCTTTTGTGTTTTTGGTAAATTGGACCTTAACTCGTTACCTTAAGCCAGTGTCTTTTTCCTGGTTCATATATACTCTGCAAATTGAAAGAACAAAGATAAATAAATACAAAAACAAACACAGACATTTTCACTTTTATTTCTTTACTCATATATTCAAGAAACCCATGCCAAAACAAATTATCAGTAAAATTAATTTACTAAAATTATGTACTACATTACATTCACATCCTTGAGAACAAGCCCTTCCAGACCTTCATTCATAGCTCTTGCCATCAACTTGGACAGCTCTTTTTCTGTCTATACAGAATAAACACAATATTGTTCTATTCTACATAATAAAATATCAGAATACATGAATACAGAATGAATCTGCAAAGGAAACTGGGAGTAACTATGCATTTAGTATTCAAAGAAGCTGTTTCACTAAAAGGGCCTAAGCCCCAGTATCAAAATTTCAATTCTCATTTGTTGCCCCTATACATTCGTTTCAAAAGCAGTGGGGAGAAACTGTCATTTAATTCATTGTCTGATATGCCTTTAATTCTTGTCACCACACTGTTTCACAGAGCATTGAGACTACAAGGAGAAATTTGGTGTCGGTAACCCTTGAGGTTCAATGTTTATTAAACTAATCTCTTTCACTTCTGGAATTAACTTAAACCATGATTAAAAAACAAAACAAAACAAAACAAACAAACAAATGGTAAGATGTGTTAGTAGTCCTCAGCATTTTTCATTAGAATGGTCACATTTAAGACAACATGAACAACTGAAATAACATACCCTTAAGAAGTTTGTTTCTGACAACATTATTTTATTTGGAATGACAGTGACATTTTTTTCCAGGATTTCCCGCCTTTCTTTCATACTCCTGAAAACATTTAAAGTCAAAACACAGTAGATGATTAACTAGAAGTAACAGTACTGTGATCTCTATCAAGGTAAAATTTGAACTAAATCTGCTGTGTTTCTAAAAGAAAACAACAGTATCAGGGTAGAACCCCAGTAACTTGAACTCTGAAGAGAAACGAAAAACAGTTCGAGTTAGCAGGAATTTGAGTTATTGGAGTAAATTTCAGTGAAGTTTTGATTAAGGGAAGAGATCAAGTTAGTGAGGAATTTGAGTTATCCAAGTTCAAGTTATTGGGGTTCACAATCTCTGCGAAACCTACTTTTTCATCACATTTTCATCGTTAAACTGAAGGCAGTCAAAGATAAATAAGCAAACACTGGCATCTTTAAATGCTGATTTCTGTGAAATGAGAGGAAAAGATGTGATTAGTAGCACCACCAAGCTGGACTCTGAAAAAGATTCCAAAAGGTTAGCACGTACAAAAATAATAATATTCTCTGTCGTGTCAAGAGTGTGATATTCCCTGAGCTGCATTTTCAGTAACATTGCAAACCTATGAAATAACGTATGGAACTGCACGTTTTTTTAACCCAACTACTACCGTGAGGGCCAGTACCTTATGGATGCCTAGAGTTCCAAATGGAAGAGGAGTGCCAGTGTTGGTATCTACAAGCAGAACCTATAATGAAAGTATTCAAATTTGATATAGGAGAAGGTAGAAGTGAGGTACCTGATGAAAAGTTGCATATAACTAGAACAAATTGAGCAAAAAAACCCAACAACAATAAAAACACAATATTTGTTTGAAAAAGTGGCACAGCAAAAATAATAATAATAGAACACAACTGAGTATGTGGAATACACTATGATGGACCAGGTGAGAGTAGTCACGAATAGGACTGTTGTTGACAGTGTCTGACGTTTGGACAACCTGTGCACCAGTCATATTCAGAGTCAAAGTGAGTTGTACAAGGGGTACGTCAGTTGATGGTATTAAACTCTGGTTACTGTTGAAATGCCTGTCACTGACAACAACAGTCTTATTCAGGACTACATTTACACCTGGGCGATCATTTCCCACCTATTTTGAATGGAATGATTCCTGGGTTCAAACCTTTCGCAGAACAGCTGATGATTACCTCACTGTCCAGAATCAAGTTGTTGCCATGGGGACAAGCTTTGGGGAGGTGATCCTTAATAGGAGCAACCTGGAAAAACAACAAGTAACTATATGAAAGGTCTGAGACAAGAAAGTTTTGGCAACCTTGGAAAGTGTGAAAGAGAAAAAAAAAGAAGTATGAAGAAATTATCATGGGATTCACAGTAAAAGGAATCTTGACTACAATAAAACACTTCTTATAGTACATGTTCTTTCCAATGTGTAACAGTAGCTAGCGTTTATACACTGTCCTATGAATATTTCATGGCTTCTTAAAGTAGCTAGTCCATCTTAACACTCCTTCAGATTAACACATAAAGTCATAGTAATAACATCACATACCTTATGTGCAAGAACTGGCTTAAGGCTGCGGCTAAAAAACTGAAAGTTGCTGCCACTCTTGTGTACCTTCAAAAATTAAGAAAAATAATGTAGAAAATGTTTGCCTAACATAAACTTTAATAAAGGCAAACCATACAGACTTGAAAAAACTAGCACATGAAGTCTCTAGAAAAAGACCTATGACAAGTCATTTCAAATACCTAAAATCAATCAAATTATAAAATTATTATAATTTATTTCATTATTCATGTACAGTTACCTGAACTCTCTCTCCATCATACTTGATCTCTGCAAACATTCCATTGGGACATTTCTTCACTGCTTGTGAAAAACTTTTGCAAGCTTCTGCCTGGGTACAGAAAACAACTATTTAGAATTAGATTAATGAGCTGGAAACTTTGAGGATCACACTGACTACATGAATAAAATTATGTAAACTTATCCTGTAGTGGAGATCAAAAGTGTTTTATCAAAATAAGTAGTAATTTTTTTAAACAAAAGGAATTGTAAATAGTGTTTTGACGAAACAGTTTTTTTTAAAGTGAATTAATTGTAAATAAGATTTTAATAGTTAGTATTGTTATGAATAAAATATTTTTGAGATTTTTTTTTAAAAAAAGTAAAACTAGCGATGTACCCCTCCCTTCCCAAACAATGATGAATTGTCATCAAAATGGATGGAAATAAGTTCAATGTTGGATGCAACATTGCTGAGGGGAGTCAATACAAATTTGTCATTTGGAGCAGAGTCATACACGTATGTAACAATATAACTTGGAACGGTTTCTCCACAGTTGTCACAAGTTTTTTTTTACCTCCATTGTAGATCCTGATTTACCCCATTGATACATACCAACATTGGTTTGACTGGTGTCATCAAAGAAGCCCTTATGCTCAGCTTTTTACTCATTCCTGGTAAAACACCAGCTTTGATTTGTTTCTTTTGCAGGCATCGCTGTACAACATCACTCAGGTTATTAGATGCTTGGAATGCCTCATATGCATCAGGATCAAGAGCATCCAAACTAAAGCAAAAACAACATCCAGGACAATGGTGATGATAAAAACGTTGTCACAATGAACGATGACGATAAGGAGGACAATAATGATGATGATGAAAACGATAGTGACAACAGTGAAGGTAAGGGTGATGGTAAAGGTGATAGTGACGAAAATAAACTTTAAGATGATTTTGATGATCAGTGACAATGGAGATAATGAAAGTGA